GACTTTCAGGCTCAGCTGCTTTCTTTAATGATGAAACATCTTTTTCTGCAGCAAAACAAACAAGAAAACATTTAGAGAAGCTTAATAATCAAAACAAATCAAAGATTGAAATAAGGAAAATAAAGTCAACAGCAATATGCAGAGCTTGCTTCAATATAGAAGGAAGATAACTTTAATACGTTGATAGAAATGTTTACTGAATAGCAAACATAGAAGAAAAAATGCAGTTTCAGAAATCTGAAATGAAAACATAAAATGCCGTAAACATGCTATAAAGTAACTTCTTTTCGAATATAACTTCACACTAATGTTTTACCCTTTGGGGACTAATGAGAAAGTAAAGAAAGGATTCCCAGGCTCACTACCAATCTGTTGAACCAGGTCATAAAATCTCCTTCCATGGCCAACACATTCTAACATGTCACTGAAACCCAGAGCTTCATAAAAACATAGAAAATAAGAGCAGGAGTAGGGCATTCAACCCCTCAAGCCTGTTTCATCATTCAATATGATCGTGGCTGATCATCGAAGTCAATACTCTAATCCCTCCTTCCCCCATATCTCTCGATCCCTTTAACCACAAGGTCTATGTCAACCTCCTTCCTGAAAAAAACAATGTTTTGGCCTTAGCCACTTTCTGTGGTAGTGAATTCCATAGGCTCACCATTCTCTGGGTGAAGAAATGTTTCCTTCTTCTTCCACCTTCAGACATTATGACTACACCGTAAGACCTCCCAGTAAAGCAATTAAAGGAAAAAGTTCCATGTAGAGCCAACTGATGACAGCTAGATAATTCTATGTTTTAATGATATTTGTTGAGGGATAAATATTACTCAAGCCACTAAAAGAAACCCTGAGCTCTTCTCTACACAAGGTATAAATATCATTTTGAGTAATTGATGATGTTGTTCATTAAAAAGAAGGCTCTCTGGTGGTCCTCTGAGCAGATTGCCTTATGAGGAAAGGCCAGACAGGCTAGGCCTGTATCCTCTGGAGTTTAAAAGAGTTAGAGATGACTGAATTGAAACATATGAGATCCTTAGGGAACTTGACTGAGTGGATATTAAAAGCATGTTTCCAGTTGTCGGAAAATCTTATAACTAGGTTTCATAGTTTTAAGATAAGCGGGTGCTCATTTAAGATGAAAAGAAGCAATATTTTCTCTCTCAGACAGTTAAGAACACAGAATATAGACCAGTACAGCACAGTACTGGGCCTTTGGCCCACGATGTTGTGACGGCCTATTATCCTACTTTAAGATCAAACTACCCTGCATACCCTACATTTTACTATCATCCATGTGCCTGTCCAAGAATCGTTTAAATGTCCTTAATGTATCTGACTCCACTACCCACCACTCTCTGTGTAAAGAACCTACCTCTGATATCTCCTCTATATCTTCCTCCAATCACCTTAAAATTATGCCCCCTTGTAATAGTCATTTCCGCTCTGGGAAAAAGTCTCTGGCTATCCACTCTATCTATGCCTCTCATCATCTTCGACACCTCTATCAAGTCACCTCTCATCCTTCTTCACTCCAATGAGTCTTTGGAATCCCCTTCCTCAAAAGGCAGTGGATGCAGAATCTTCAAATATTTTTAAGGCAGAGATTGATAGATTCTCGATTACCAAGAGGGTGAAAGATTATCAGGGATATGCAGAAATGCAGAGTTGAGGTTAAAATCAGATCAGCCGTGATCTCACTGAATGACGGAACAGGCTGAAAGGGCTGAGTGGCCTATTCTTACTCCTTGTTCATATATAACTGCTACCTCACCCACCTCAAAATGCATTGATTTAATTACGTCTGAAGCACATTTCTGGGCCTTTTCAATAGCAAGAGTAATTAATGCCCTTTGGAGTGACTGAGCAAGTCATTCAGTTGCTTTTAATATTGAAACAACACTCCAACATCTCACAGTGCTTGAAGATATTTTGCAGAAATACAAAGAATAAAGAACGCCACTTCAAAAGAAGCAGTATTAGGACAGGTCATTCGAGCTTATTCAAGGAAATAAGTTATAAGGAGTGCCTTAAATGAAGATGTGTAAATTGGAGGACTCTATAAAAGACATCACAAATATTGGGGCTTAGCAGCTGAAGCCAAAACTTTCAAATGTGAGAAAATGAACAAGCTAGGATCAGAGGAAAGGTGAGCTCAGTGGTTGAAGAAGTTAGATTGAAGAAGTGAAAGAGATGGGGAAGGGCAATGTCATATGGGATTTAAAGACAAGAGATTCTGTGGCTATGATCCGGTACATAGGAATGGAACTATGTGAAGATAGTTATACTTTACAAGACCAAATTATGGCAGATATTGGAAATGTGAAATGGAAACAGAAAACGCCGGAAATACTCAGGAGGTTTTGGCTGTGTCTGTAGAAATAGAAACAGATTTAATGGGCTGAATTTGGTGGAGGTGACAGAAGTCCCAACAAGCGCCAAAGGAATGGAAATCAAAAACAGGAGGCAACCTGACAGAGGCGCAGATTACCAACAACAGCACAACATTTCAAAGGTACTACCTACAGAAAACAATTTGGGATTAAAATAAAGTTAGATTTAAATCTGAAAACCATGACTACTTACTTGAAATTGTACGTGTACAAATTACTGCAACAACCACACACACCATCAATGCAATTAAACCATTAACTGTTGGTAATATCCACAATCCTCTGTTGCTGGCAGAACCTGTTGAGAATTATTGTGGACATGCATTGAAAACTATGTTGAATAACATACCATAAAGCAGAACTTAAGAATTAAATCGTTTTGTTTTACTGTAACTAAATGGAGATGTTAGGGTGGATGTGCAAAAGCTGAGTCAAAGGAGCAGCTTTTAAGGAAAATATTAAGAAAAAGAGGTAGAGAAACAGAAGTTTAGGGAGGGAATTGCAAATATGCAAGCATAAGATTAGGAAAAAATGTAGAACATTCAGACACTAGAAGCTGCTTTGAAAATCAATAAGATAAGACTGATCTGATTGCTGCACCTAGACCCAATGATCCTGCTTATCAAGAATCTATTTACCTTTCCCTTAAAAATATTCAAGGACTCTACATCCACCACTTTTTCAGGATGAGAGTTCCGTGACACTCTGTGAGAGAGAAAAAAAATTCTGCTTATCCTGGCTTAAATGGGTGACCTTTATTTTGAAGCAGCGATCTCTAGTTCTACATTCTCCTGCGAGAGTAAATATCCTAGCCACATGCACCCATTTAAGACCCACAATCTGTGGTTACTAAAAGAAGTTAAAGATAGTATCAAACTTTAAAAGAATATATGTATAATTGCACAAAGATGGGTGGCAGATCAGAAATTTCAACAGAACATATAACAGAGCAACAAAGACTGACTAAAAATATGTTGGAAAATCTAGTGTATGAGGGAAAGCTGGCTAGAAATATGAAAATAGATGATAATAATATTAACCAATTGTAATAATAAAAATGGTTCTGTAGAAAGTGAGTCTGAGGAATTTATAATAGAAAATAAGCAGATGGTAGATTAATTGGGCAGGTAATTTGCATTGCAGCATGGTGGCATAGTGGTTAGCACTGCCACCAGGGAATAGCTTCGATTCCAGCCTCAGGCAAATGTCCGTGTGGAGTTTATACATTCTTCCTGTATCTGCGTGGGTTTCCTCAAAGTGCTCTGGTCTCCTTCCACAGCCGAAAAATGTGCAGGTTAGGTGGACTGGCCATTCGGCCCATCAAGTCCACACCAGCCCTCCGAAGAGCATCCCACCCAGACCCCTCCTTACCCTCTCCCTGTAACCCCGACATTCCCCATGAGTGATCCGCCAAGCCTGCTCATCCCTGGACACTATGGGCAATTTAGTGTGGCCAAAAGATGGTGAAGTTGAGAAATAGTAGGAGGCCCAGATTTGATCGACAGGGTAATGATGTGGAAATGTGAAGAGAAGCAATTACAGTTATTCCCCTGGCTGTTAGTAGATAGAACTGGACCCTGGCAAGTGCAATTTCATCCAGTCGGGCAACAGTGGAAAGGCATTGTTGGAGAATGATGCCATCAATGTCTAAGGCTGTAGACAGGTTGAGAAGGAAAAGGAGAAATAGTTTATCTTTCTAATATTAGGATGTCATTTCTGAATCTGATAAGAGCCGTTTCTATTCTATGACAGTGTGGAAATGTAGGGTATTAAGGGTCAAATAACTGAGTGTGAGATTTCAAATGCACTACACTGGGAATTGGGCATGGATTTGGGAGGTGGACCAGTTAACAGGTTTTCAGAGGAAAATGCAGCTCATAGGAAATGGCGCGGCTCTAGTTTGCAAGATCAGTGGTCTCAGAGCTTCTATTTTGAGGAGAGGGGCTTACAGGAAAATGGGACAGAACCTGAAGAGGAAGAATCATTGGCAATATTAGCTAAAGTGGAGTCCAGGAGAGGAAGTCATGTATTCAGTACTTTAGTAGGAACAGAGGACAATGTGAATCTTGTCTGTAAGATGAGCTTGGAGAGAGTCTGAGGAAAGCTGGGTGGGAAACTCAAAAAAAGATGCAAGTTCAAGGCTCACACCTGGAGTTAGTTTGGAGGAAATTTGGCCCAGTGGGTTCGTGGAAGGGAGAGAAGGGACAGAGGCTGTTGATAGATTTACCTTGATTTTAGTGATCAGATTCCAGATGAGGGAACGTAATAGACTTATTGGGGACTGGGATATTAAAAGTGGAGGTGAGAGTATAATTAAGTGAATCAGTAGCTGTGGACATATTGTTGCAAATCAAGGGGCAAAGGCTAGATAGGTGGCATTTTGAAAGTATAGCTGGAAGTGAATCGTCAAGTAGTTACGTTTTCCAATTGTGGACATTGGGAATGGTGATCTTTAGTCATGGAAAGGTGATATAGGTGGAGAATGATTCAAGGAGTGATACCAGTACCACATTCATGCAGTAACCTTACTCAAATCATAAAAGTCAAAAGAAAATCAGAATTGCAACTTAAACTTCTGCCAGTTTGCAGAATCCAGAGATTTTGCTAACAAATGCAATGAATGGACTTTTTTTCACCTTGGTTACAAACAGGAATCCTTTTAGTGGTGGGTGCAGAAAGAGTTGAGTGGTTCACTTGACAGGAATATATTCCAGTTTCATTCTGCTCAAGTACAGAAAGATTCAGTGCACTTGTGATGGAGAATGAGCCATCACTGTTAGTATAGAGAGTCCCATTCTTAATGCTATTGGTGATTCGCTGTCCATCTTTAAACCAGGACACTTGAATGTCATCAGGATAGAACTCTAGTGATGTGCAGATTAACTCTCTTCCTTCATTAGGGTAAGGTTGAGTCCTTTCAATTAACTGGACAGTTGGCTGAGCTGAAAATTAATTGTAATGTGTTATTAGAGTTCTACACTTCAGTCTGTTTGTAAGTTTGTATCAAATAATCTCAAGGGTTTAGATCCATAATGAGAAACTTTGAACTGTCGACTATGTGTATATCTGATAAACAAAAGGCTACCAACGGCAAATCAGGGAGGGCTGGCATCATGGATCAGTTGATGCCTAAAGACCCACTTGGTACAATTTTCAGTTGAGCGTGAAAATTGGTAAGCAGTCTACCTGTCTGAAACTGGCAAGAGGTGGGAATGAAGGAGGCCTTTCAGCCCACCCAGTTCCCTGTAAAAACAATTCAGCTCGTCCCACATCATCATTCTTTTCCTAGAGCCCTGCAGTTTTGTTTTCCTCCTGGCACTCATACATTACCATTTTGAAAGCCAGAGGCAAATCTGCCTCCACCACATCACAATTCATACAATGGGCATGAAATACTGACCACTCACTGTCGAAACCTTTGATTTGCCCAATATTTTAAATCCATATTGTCTTGTTCCTGACCCGTTTGGCAATGGAAACATTTTCTGTCTATCTACCAAATCTGGATTCCTCATGATTGTGGCCACCTCCATCCTGAATCTTCTTAATGGCTGTTTGGGGATCCATAAAATGCAAGCTTATCTGTGGGAATTTTGATAAGGTGAACATTTATTGCCCGTCCCTAATTGTACTGAAGGAGCTGGCTCTGAGCTGTCCATGTGGTGTTGGTGGCACAGCCATAGTGCTGTTAAGAAGGAGTTCCAGGAATTTGACAATGAAGGAATAATGGTACACCTCCAGTCAGGGTTGTCCTTGGTTGGAAGGAACCTCACCTATGGCAGATATGTTCCCCTGCACTCTAGGGATGGTGATGGCCTAGTGGTACTATCACTAGACTGTGAATCCACAGACCTAGGTAATGTCCAGGAGATGCAGGTTCAAATCCAACATTGCAAATGGTGGATTTGATTCAGATTAAGGCTCTAATGATGATCGTGCAACGATTGCTGATTGTCAGCAAAACTCATCTGGTTCTTTAGGCAAAGAAACTGCCATCTTCACTTGGCATAGCCCACATGTGGCTCCATACCCAGAATGTTTGACTTTTAACTGCCCTCTAGGCATTTAGGGATGGGCAATAAATATTGGTCTGGCCAGTGACATCCACGTCCCATGAATGAATTTTAAAAAAAGAGACCTGCTGTCCTTGTTCCTCTAAGTAGCAGATGTCATGGAAGGCACTGCCGTAGACATTTTGGTTACTTACTACAGTACATCTTGTAGATGGTACACACTGCTGACAGTGTGTATCGGTGGTGGACACAGTGATTGATGAAAGGTGGTGGATAGAGTGCAGATCAAGTGACTGCTGAAGCAGCACGTGTCCAAGAAGGTGTAGAGTAATTCATCCTTGTCTTGGGCTGTGTATATGTTGGATGGTCTTTGAGGAGTCTTGAAGGAGTTATTTGGCTCAGAGAGCCCAATTGTAGGTCTGCTCTTGTAGCTACATTATTTATATGGCCAATCCAGTTCAGTTTCTGGTCAATGATAACCCCTAGGATATTGATGGTAGGAGGTTCAGTGATGGTAATATCATTGAATGTCAAGTGAAGATGTTAGATTCTCTCCTGTTGTATATTTCCTGACATTTGTATGACACAAATCTTTCTTATCAGCCCAATCTGAACGTAGTCCACATTTTGTTAAATGAGACATGGACTGCTTCAGTGTCTGAGAAGTTGAGGATGGTATCGGACATTTAGTTGCATAGTTGTACAGATGTCAAATATTTTTGTAAAGTGAGAAATATTACCAAAGCTTTTTATCTTGCTCTTTTCAGGGAAAAAACAAGAATGGCATACTTCAACCTGTTAGACAAGAGAAACGGGTGTTGATTGGTTGGCACATCAACTGTTTTTGGGTTGAGTCATGGTCATGGAGAAAGTAATGGGGAACTGTAGGGTCTTCTTGCTACCACTTATTCATAAAATGCACAAAACTTAATAGTATTCCTCTTGTTTTTGGAATCTATTACTTGTGATTCCGTGAAATATGTTTGTGAAACACTCCTCTGTTCTTTTGTTACCAATTGCCTTAACTAATCCAGTGTGCTAGGAGGACGTTTCCTGTCATGGGGGCATAAGGGTCTAAAAGGCACAGGTTAAAAATAAGGGAGTTTCAAATTAAGGTGGAGGTGGCTCAGTGGTCAGCATTGCTGCCTCACGGCACCAGGGACCAGGGTTTGATTCCAGCATTGGGTGATTGTCTGTGTGGAGTTTGCATATTCTCCCCGTGGATTTCCTCCGGGTGCTCCTGCTTCCTCCAAAAGATGTGCAGGTTAGGTGGATTCTAAATTGCCCATAGTGTTCAGGCTAGGTGGGTTAGCCCTGGGAAATGCAAGGAAAGGATAGGGTAGAGGGGTTGGACTGGGTGGGATGCTCTTTGGAGGGTCCATGTGGACTTGGTGGGATGAATGGCTTGCTCCCACAGTGTAGGGGTTCTATGCTTATGAAGTCCTTTATGCATTCATGGGATGAGGGCATCACTGGCTAGGGCAGCATTTATTGCCCAGCAGGCAGTTCAAAGTCAACCACATTGCTGTGGGTCTGGAGTCTCATGTAGGCCAGACCAGGTAAGGATGGCAGTTTCCTTCCCTGAAGGGCATTAGTGAACCAGGTGGGTTTTCTTCCCCACAATCAGCAATGGATTCATGGTCATCATTAAACTGTTAATTCCAGATATTTATTGAATTCAAATTCCACCATCTGCCATGGTGAGATTTGAACTCAGGTCCCCAGAATGTTACCTGGGTCTCTGGATTAACAGTCCAGCGATAATACCACTAGGCCATCGCCTCCCCACATCAAGGGAAGGAATTTTTTCCCTCAGAGGCTTGTTAGTGTTCGGAACAAACACAGAAAATGCTGAAGAAAGTCAGCAGGTCTAGCAGCATCTATGGAGAGAAATAGAGTTAATGTTTGGAGGCTAAAATTACTGTCTTTAGAATTCCCTTCTCAGGGAAACAGTGGAGACTGGATCATTGACTTTATTCAAGACTGAATAATTAAGGCTATTATCAGATCAGATGTCGTCTTTTGAATATGGAGAAGAATTGAGGGGCCAAATGGCCTGCTCTTACTCCTATTTCTTAAGATTTTTTTGAATTTTGTCTTGTCTAGCCACTTCCCTTACGCCCTGTGTAAATTTGGCTTTATCCATAAGTCTGTTGTTCTAATATAGATCCAGTTCCTTTCACCCATCCCACCTGCCCTCTGAATTCTATTGGATCCCAGTGCAGAATTCCCTCAATTTTGAAATTCTTAGCCATTTTCAAATCCCCGTATAACTTTAACTTTCTATCCATGTAATCTCCACCACACTCAAGGTATCAGTGTTGCTCTAATTCTGGCCTTTTCTGTATTCCCAGATTTCAACACTCTAAAGTTATTTCTGACCCTTCAGATGCAAAAGCCTGAAGTTCTGTAATTCAGTACCTCACTCATTGTCTGTTCAAGCACCCCCACCCCTCTCTTCCTTTAAGTCTTCCCTTTATACGTCATCTTTAATCAAGTTTTTGCACATCTGGCCTAATACTTACTGTCTGTAAAATTTACTCTGGAAGTTCTCTTATGAAGTGGCTTAAAATGTTTAAGGTGCTACATAAACACACATTGTTATTGGTGTAATCTCCTAACTCTGTAATACAATATATCGAGAATTGCTGTTGGTGACGTATAAAGCTTAGAATCAGCCTCTCTCTCTCAGAACGAGGCAGCAAGGATTAAAACCCCACCTACTCAAGAGTTGCATACTAACATTTCTGAACAGGTTGGTTAGAAAACATCTAGAATCTGAGGAATGATAAAACTGTGATAACACAGTGTGGAGCTGGAGGAACACCGCAGGCCAAGCAGCATCAGAGGAGCAGGAAAGCTGCCGTTTCAGGTCAGGACCCTTCTTCAGAAAACTTTATGATCCCGACCCGAAACGTCAACTTTCCTGTTCCTCTGATGCTGCCTGGCCTGCTATGTTCCTCCAGCTCCAAACTGTGTTATCTCTGACTCCAGCATCTGCAGTTCTTACTATCCTGAATGATAAAACTGTAATGTTTTTTGAGTTGCGGATATATTAAACTCACCTTCTACTGTAATGCGTGTACCTTTACCTCTTGCTGATTGTGAAGGAGGTGGAATTTCAAAATCAACCTGACAGAAGTAAATGTCAGCATCACTTAAATGAAGATCGTGGATTATCAAAGATGAAGATTTTGTTGAGGAGTCCACCGTAATGTTAGCACGTTCTGTGCAATGCATGATAGAAGAACAATTAATTTTATTTTCCATGTGATGGCAGAATAATTGTGTACTGGTATTACGCTTCCACATAATCCGGAACTGTTCAACTGTATCACTGTATGAACAATTTATTTGTACGTTGTCCCCCTTCAACGCTCTGATCTCTGATGGTGTTTGGAATACTGTTAGTTTTTTGCTCCTCACTGAAGAAATTAAAAAACAAAAATGATTAACAATATATTATTTCTGATCAGTAGTGAATATATCATGTAGCCGGGTGTAGTTTGTAGTTCAGTGAATTGAGTCAATATAAAGGCATTATGAATCTCTTTTCCTGAAAAGAAGTAAATGGAATTGAATGTATTGTAGATTGCATTGAAACATAGTAGCAGGAGTAAGCCATTCAGCCCCTCATGCCTGCTCTGCTATTCTAGATCATGGTTAATCATCTTCCTTCATACCTCGCAATCTACCCACATCTTTGACATCATTAGTAACTAGAAATCTATCAAAGTCTCTCTTGAACTTACTTTAATGCCCTCCCAGGTAGAGAATATCAAAGTATCAAAACCCTCCAAGTGAAGAAATTCCTCCTCATCTCAGTCCTAAATGGCTTGCCCCCACAGTGAGACCACACAGCCGAGGGAAACATCCACTCTGTCTGTCCCTATAAGAAGTTAGTAAGTTTATAAAATCTTTCTTCTAAACTCCAGAAAATACAGGCCCAGTTTCCTCTTTCTTTCCTCATAGGATCGACCCACCTTCCTTGCTATCAGGCTGGTGAATCTCTATTGCACTCCCTCTATATAACTCCCTTAAGCAAAGGGACCAGAACTGTACACAACACTTCAAGTATAGTCTCACCAGTGACCTAGACAATTCACCATAAGAGCGTTAGACATAGGAGCAGTAGTAGGCTATTTGGTCTGATCAGCCATGCAATGAGACCGAGACTAATATGATAATCCTCAACTCCGCTTCCCCTCTTCTAACCACAACACTTGATTACCTTATTGATTAAAAATCTATCTGTCTCACTTCAAATATATTTAATGACCCAGCCTCGACAGCCCTCTGTGGCAAAAAGTTCCACAGTTTCACTACACTCTGAGAGAAGACATTTCTATTAATTTCTGTCTCAATTGGGTATCCCCTTATTATGTCCACTGGTCCTAAATTCTCCCACAAGTTGGAACAATTTCTCTGCATCTACTCTGTTAGTCCCTAAGAAACTTGTATGTTTCAATAAGGTCACATCTCATTCTTCTAAGCTCCAATGAGTACAAGATCAATTTGCTCAATATCTCCTCACAATACAATCCTTCCATACCAGATAACAACATAATGAACTTTCTCTGGGCTACCTCCAATGCCAGTATATCTTTCCTTAGATAAGAGGGCCCCAAATTATTAATAGTATTCCACGTGGGCCTAACTAGTACCTTGGATGCTTATTGCAAATGCTCTCTATTTGTATACTTTATTGCCTTGAAAATTAAGATTAATATTCCATTTCCTTCTATGTTACCTGCTGAACATTTATGTGATTCATGGACAAGTACTCTCAAATCCCTCTGTGCTATAGCTTTCTGCAATCTTTCTCCATTTAAATAGTTTTCAGTTCCTCTATTCTACCAGTCAAAGTACATAACTTTGCATTTTTCCACATTATATTCTATCTGCCAAATGTTTGCCCAGTTGCTTAACCTGCTTATTCCCTCTGTAAACTTATCTCACTACATGGCTTTCCACCGATTTTTGTGTCATCCACAAATTCGGCTATAATACATTCACATTCAAATAATGAATCTATGTGGCAAGTAATTATGGCTCCAGCAATGATCCCTGTGGCATTCCATTAGTTACAGTTTGCCGTCCTGAAAACTCCCCCCTTATCCTAACTCACTGCCTTCTATCCCCTATCCATGCTACTCCCTCCAGTACCATAGGTTTTTTTTTATTTATTCACAGGATGTGGAAGCCTCTGGCTAGGCCAGCATTTATTGTGCATCCCTAATTGACTCTGGGCAATTGTTGTGGGTCTGGAGTCACATGTAGTCACACGATGGCAGTTTCCTTCTTGAAAGGGCATTAGTGAACCAGATGGGTTTTTCGACAGTGATTTTGTGGTCATTATTAGACTCTTAATTCCAGGATATTTTGTATTGAATTCAAATTCCAACATCTGCTGTGGTGGAATTCGAACCTATGTCCCTAGAACATTAGTTGAATTTCTGGATTAATGGTCTGGTGAAAATATTACTAGGCCATCACCTCCCAAGACTCTTATTTAGTTTCTTTAAGTAGACTAATATGTAGCACTTTACCAAATGCCTCCTAGAAATCCAAATATATTAGACCTACTGCTTTCTCTTTACATGTCCTGTTTGCTATCTCATCAAAGTATTCTATTAAATTTGTCAGGCATGATTTTCCCTTCATGAAGCCATGCTGATTCTGTTTGATTACATTTTTAAAAATTCATTAATGGGATGAGGGCCATGCTGGCTAGGCAGCATTTATTGTCCATCCCTAATTGCCCAGAGGGCAGTTCAGAGTCACCACATTGCTGTGGGTCTGGAGTCACATGTAGGCCAGCAATTTCCTTCCCTAAACGACATTAGTGAGCCAGATGGGTTTTTCCTAACAATCAATTCATGGTCATTGGTAGATTCTTAATTCCAGATATTTTATTGAATTCAAATTCCACCATCTGCCATGACAGGATTTGAACCTGGGTCCCCAGAAGGTTACCTGCAGTCTCTGGATTAACAGCCCAGCAATAATACTAGGCCATCACCTCTCCTATATTTACAAATATTCGGTTGTTATATATTTTATAATAGACTCCTATATTTTCTTGATAACAGATGTTAAGCTAACTGGCTTATAGTTAACTTTTTTTTTTAGTCTCTTTCCCTCTCTAAGTATTTTTGTATTGTTGCTTTCCAATCCTTTGGGACTTTTTCAGAATCTAAGGATTCTTGGAAGATTATTACCAGTGCAACAACTACCTCTTTTAGTTCCTTTAATATCTTAGGATGCTTCACATTAGGTCCAGGGCATTTATCTGTCTTTAGCCAATTTGTTTCCCTAGTACTTTATCTCTAGTGATAGTTATTGTATTTATTTCCTTTCTTCCGTTTGCCCCTTGATTTTGTTTCAGTAGTTTTGTAAAGCTTTTAGCGTCTTCCACTATAAAGACTGGTACAAAGTATTTATTTAATTCCTCTGCCATTTCTGGTTCCCTGTTATTATTTCCCCGCCTTGTTCCTAAGGAGCATATATTTATTTTGACTTTCTCTTCTTTTTTATGAATTTAAAGACTGTCTTGCTGCCAATCTCCACATCACTTGCAAGTTTACCCTCATCTTTTCCCTTTGTTTTTGGTTTTTGCAACTTTCTCAATCCTTTGGCTTAATACTAATCTTTGCCACTTTTGTATGTTTTTTTCTTTCAAATTGATGCTACCCTTAACTTCCCCGGTTAACCATAATTGGCTTATCATATTCCTATAATCTTTCTCTCTCAATGGGATATATTTTTGTTGTGAGCTATCTGCTATTTTCTTAACTCTCTACCATTGTTCCTCAACTATCTTTGTTGGTAAATTTCTTTGCCATCTACTCTAGCTAATTCTGCCTTCATACCTTCGTAATTCAGTTTATTTAAGTTTAGCACAGTTGCTTCTGACCCAGGTTCCTCCCTCTCAGACTGAATGCTATTTGCTACCATGTTATGATCATGATTTCATCAGGGTTCTTTTACTCTGATATCACTTATTAAAGCCGCCACATGACATATCACAAGATCCAAAATAGCCTTATCCCAGGTTGGATCTGCAACATATTCTTTTTGAACAAATACAGTCTATGAATTGCTCCTTGTGGCTATCTCTGCCTAACCCTATCTCATTTGAAGCAAGGCTTCCTATAACTACACTCACATCCTCAAGCAATAAAGACTAACACAATGTTTAAAGGCAAAGTACTACAGATGCTGGAAATTTTGAAACAGATGCAGAAAATGAAACTCAGCAGGTCTGGTAGCACCTGTACAGAGAGAAACAGAGTTAACATTTTGAGTCTTGTATCTCTTCTTAAGAACATAAGAAGAATCTGAAGAAGAGTCATACTAGACACAAAACATCAACTCTATTTCTCTGTCCACAGATGCTGCCAGACCTGTTGAGTTTCTCCAGCATTCTCTATGTTTCTAACATAACAAAGAACAAAGAACAAAGAAAATTGTAGCACAGGAACAGGCCCTTTAGTCCTCTAAGCCTGCATCGACATGTTGCCCGTCACAACTAAAACCCCCTACCCTTCCGGGGACCGTATCCCTCTATTACCATCCTATTCATCTATTTGTCAAGACGCCCTTTAAAAGTCACTATCATATCTGCTTCCACTCCCTCCTCCAGCAGTGAGTTCCAGGCACCCACCACCCTCTGTAAAAAACTTGCTTCATACATCACCTTTAAACCTTGCTCCTTGCACCTTAAATCTATGCCCCCTAGTAACTGATTCTTCCAAACTGGGAAAAAGCTTCTGACTGTCCACTCTGTCCATGCCCTTCATAATCTTGTAGACCTCTATCAGGTTGCCCCTCAACCTCCATCGTTCCAGTGAGAACAACCCAAGTTTTTCCAACCTCTCCTCATAGCTACATTTGCTTGCTGCACCTGCATGTTAACTTTCAGTGACTCATGAACAAGGGCACTAAGATCCCATCAAAACTTTGCAATCTCTTACCATTTAAGAAATACTCTGCACCTTTGTTCCTGGTACTAAAGTGGACAACCTCTCAAATAACCACATTATGTCCTATCTGTCATATTATTGTCCATTCCAGTAATGTGACTAAATCCCATTGATGTTCCTTTGCATTCTCCTCACAACTCACATTGTCACCAAGTTTGTATCATCTGCTAAAATGAAAATATTACAACTGGCCCCATTTTTGAATCATTGATATAGATTGTGAACCGTTTGTGTCCAAGCAGTGATCCTTGTGGTACCCCACTGGCCAACCGCAGAATGACTCACTAATTCCTATTCCCTTCTTTCTAGCTGGTCACCATTCCACAATCCATGCGAATATTTTTTCCCAATCCCATGCACTTTAATATTGTTTACTAACCCCCTGTTATAAAAAAAATTCTGAAAATCTAAATGTTACACATCCACTGGTTTCCCCTTATCAACCTTTAAGTAAGTAACATCCTCCAAAAAATCTATCAGGTTCATCAAACGTGGTTTCCTTTCATAAATTCAAGTTGACTTAATCAAATCAGAACAATTATTTTCTAAATACTAAATAATCATATCCTTTAAAATAAATTCTAATATTTTCCTGATTATTAAAACCAGGCTAGTAGATCTTTCATTTCTTGTTTTATGTATCCCTCCTTTCCTAAAGGACTGAAGGGTCTGTTTCTGTGCTGTACAAGTCTCTGACTCTATGACTCGAAACATGTGTAACCTTCTGATCTGCAGGTATCATTGCCTAATTATTAGAATTTTGAAAGATCATCACTAAGGCATCCAATATCTGTGTAGTCATCTTTCTTGACACTCTAGAGTGAAGGTCAGCAGGCCCCAGGGATTTGTCAACTTGCCATCCCATTAATTTTTCCAATCTGATATTTTTACTAGTACTAATTTCTTTCAGTTCCACACTCTCACTAGACTCTTGGATTAACTGACAAAAGTCTTCTTGTGTCTTCTATTGTGAAGAAAGACATAAAATACCCGTTCAGTTTTTCTGCCATTTCTATATTTCCTATTATTAATTCACTTGTGTTTGCCTGTATTTGAACCACATTTGTCCTTTGCTAATCATTTGCTTTTCTCTTCTCTATAAAAGCTTTTAACGTCTGTCTTTATGTTTCTTGCATCTTACATTCATATCCTATTCTTTCTGAAATTCTACCAATTCTCAGGCTTACATATATTTTGGCAACTCTATAAGCCTTCTTCTTTGATCTAATATTTTCTTTAACTTCCTTTGTTAGCCATGACTCTTTTGCTTTTCCTGTTGTGTATTTTTATGTTATAATGAATATATTTTCACAGTGAGTATTTTGGTTCTTTAAATAATAGCCAATGTTTTATGTACTGTCAAACCTTATAATGTATTTTTGATCCACAACAGCAAATTTTCTACTTGGCCTTTATAATTGCCCTTGTTATCATTTAAGATCTTAGTTTCAGATTGAAATACAACTTTTTCAAACTTAATGGAAAATTCTGTAAAACTATGATAAATATTAAAGTTTGTATTACACAGAATTATCAATTAGCTATTTCTCACTGCATAATACTAAATGTAAAATAGCTAGTGCCCTCAAATATTTCTTCAGAAAATGGTCACGTACAGGCAACTTCCTCCACAGCTCTCAACTGAAACCTGATTGTGACCCTGTTCTGTCATTCCATATGTCATAAAAGTACAATTTTATAAACATTTCATCAATTAACTGCACAAGTATCTAGTCATTTTGCTTAAGTCTCAGGCTTTCTTGGAGATAACGTTTGAACTCACTGTTCAAAATGACTTTCTGACCTTAATTTCCCAGGACTGAAAAAAAAGCACATTAACTTCTACTGTGAAATTCAAATTCCCAAACGATAACTTATTATGAACTATTGTCACACTTTTTGTATACTTTTAGCATGTGATACTGGGAGCAATCCTGAGATTACTGCCTTAGTGGTCCTGCTTTTCAGTCATATGTTGGGCTTCTTAAATTTTACTATCAGGACCTCATCCCTCTTTCTACTGAGGCCACTGATGCCAAAACTATCATGACTTCTGGCTGTTCATCTCCCCAAAAGAATGTCTTGCAGCCACACTGTGAGATCCTCAAACCTGCATCATCGAGGCAACATGCCAATCAGAAGTCACATAAGGCCACAGAAATGCCTGTCTGTTCCCTGAACCATTGAACCACCTGTCCACTCTTCCTCCCTACCCTCAGTGCAGCTGAGCCACTTGCTGTGACAAAAGCCTGGCTCTCATTACATTCCTCAGATGAACCATTGTCCTCACCAGTTTACAAAAGGAGTTCGTGAACGAGATAGATTTTGGGGACTCCTGCACTACCTACTTGTTCTTTCTAGACTGACCAGCAGTTACCCTTCACCGTCTAGTCTTGATTAGCAGTGACCACTTTATTAATAGTGCTATCCACATAGCTCTCAGCTTTACTGACGCACCATTGTGACTCCAGCTGCTGTTCAAGTTTCAAAACCAAGAGTTTGAATTTTCGCAGCTGAAGATACTTCTTGCTCATCTAGGCCACATGAAGCATCCACTGTTCCCAAAAAGGATAGGCATTCCACATAATTGAACTGTCCTGCCATATCCTAACTCATTTAGACATTCCAGCGCCAACATGTTAAATTACAGCATTTGTTTCCTTGTTCTGAGCTGGCTGTTTTCATTGTTTTATGCTTTACTTTGCAGTTTCTTCTGGCTGTTATCCCCTTATCGCTTTCACAATACAATAAGAAATCCCAAAGCACTTGATTGAAATAAAGAGAAGCAAATATTTGGATGAGGATTAAGCTTCATGACTAAGGCATAGCCAAAGAGTAAGATTTTGAGAAGGCTTTATGCACTTAGCATAAGAAGGAAAGAAATATTGATGGGAATATCATGAAAGTTTTGGGTGCATTTTTAAAATTACTTTGTGACTAATACCTGTAGTATTATATCCAATGATTTGTAAAGTTCAAGAAAGGAATGTTTCTGTCTGTCAGAAAATATTTCTATCATTTCTTTCCTCCTTCTGCAATTCATTGTGACTGCAGTTACTCATTAATGATGTTAGACCTGAATTAGTCATACCTGCAAGTAGAAAAAAATGAAGCAGAACACAAAGTTTGAATATTTGTGTCCCCAGGGATGTCATTTCATCTGTTTCATTCTGAAGATATAACAGAAACCAAAGAATGAATACTTGGTTTATATGTTACATATGTTATACATTACAATTTATTTAAACAATTTACACCATTAATATCAAGAAATTTTCCAGGATACTTCTCAAAAAGGTATTAGCGATGTTCGGATCGTGTTTTTATTTCATTCATTCATGGGATGGAGACATTGCTGGCTAGCCCAGCGTTTATTGTCCATTTTATTGCCCGGGACCTGGATCTAGGTCATTTGACCCTCACATCTCAGCCTTATCCAATCTTATTTGTGCTTTATTTATTTATACTGATTGTGATGTTATGGGATAGCAGTTTGAAAATCTCTGTTTTTAATATGTCTTCGTGAATAAATGTTAAATCAGAACACTACATTCCTACCTGGAGCTTGAGAAATCAGAAAATAAATGGGAAATAGATTTAAATTATTTCAAATAGGTTTTCCTTTTCAACGCCTGGATGTAAATGTTTGTTGGAATATTTCACATAATTTTATCTGACACATCCAGTCTCAGGTGCAATAAGATTTAGTTTTACTCTGGAGGTTTTAAAACCTGAGTGCAAGAGGTTACCTAAAATTCAAGTGAACAGGGATATATATCCCAATTCTGTAATTCCTGATGGAAGTCAATAGATGTATTAAAAATAGTTCATCACTCCGGTCAACTATTTTCCAGACAACCAAAATATTTATTCACAGAGACAATATCAAACGTTTTCAAATTTTCTCTTTTGACAGAAGAAATCTAAAGAATTGGACTGGAACCAGTTTCCCTGGTTAAACAACATTTTGACTCCCTGCTTTTGTATTATTTACATTCCTTTATTTAAGGTGGAGATTTTGAAAATATTTTGGAGAAATTTCAGATCATGCCCCTGATGAGCGCTCACAGCTATCTGCGAATGTTCACAAAACAGAGCTATTGTACCATACTTTGGAGGGTTCTGACTCCCTGAACTGGATAGTTACTTAGAAGGATTAAAACCAGCCCTAACTCCTGGACAACTACACTACTGACCATCTTCCCCACACCAACCCCCTCACTGCCTCACCCTGACCCTGTGTTCGCACCCCACCAATTACCACTCCCAACCCCCCCGACTCAGCAAGACTACTCCCCTCTTAGCCAACTAAACTAGCCCCATCAACCCTTTCCTCTAGCCTGACTTCACTGCGTCCCTGACCTGACCTCATGACTTGACCTACTCCAATACATGCTGCCTTCCTCACTCCACACCCACCTGCTATTTTATTTCTTCACTTATCCACCTGCCACCTTATGCCCCACCAACCCACTTGCCAACCCATCATTCACCTACTGTATACAACACACCCACCCACCTGCCAGCTAACTCCTCCCTCACCCATTGGCCACCCTACCCTGCGACCTACTGACCTGCCATCCTAACCATCACCCAGTGGACAACGCTTCTCCTGTCCACTGTCCACTCTGCTCCCTCACCAACTTACCTTCTTTCCATAACCTTTCCAAGAAGCTTTGGACATTTAAACTGTGTTTACTTACTAAAATGCATGAGCTAAAGCTGTAAGTACAAGGGTTGGACGTAGATTCCTCAAATATTTTCTGCAGACTTCTGTGCAAAGGTTCTTGTGCGTGGAGACTCAGGCCTGGTAAGCTACAGGGATGTAACTTTGCAACCTACTGTCTAATCTTGGTCAGAAGTGGGGATTCCAACAGTGATCAGAATCTTTGGGCCCTTACCTTATATCTGATCTCTAAGGAACTGTAATTGTAATTGCATATAACCAGGGCTTAAAACAATTAAACCTAAATCTAAGGGCTGGGATTCCTTACATTCAGTCCCACATAGTTTGCAAGGTGTATCCTAATGTGTCCGTGATTCCATGTTAACCAGCACTGAAGTGATTTTTAATCTCCCATCCAGGTAAATTGGGCAATACCTCGTCATACTGGGAATTCCTAATCTGTGGATATTTATTTGTTCCTATATTTATGAATTTTCCCTCAAGAGGAAGTCTGCACACCACAGCAGCCAAATGAAAAACTTCTGTTTCCATGGATTTCTCAGAAATACTGATAAGAGTTCAACATGTCTGCATTTTGTCAGCCAATTTTTAAAAAATATAACCATTGTACTTGGGTGAGAGATCTGATCCTTATCGAACTAGATGATTCATTTATCAATTAATCAGTCATACTAGACCCAGATCTTCAAAATTAGTTTCATAAACTTTGAGAGTTGCGACAGAAGTTGGAAAACCACATTTTTTTCCTCTCAAGGAATTTATTAGCTCAAAGTGTAAGCATTTCACCTGGTGGCTGAATGCCTGTACTACAGCAATATTACCTCAAATGAAAAACACCACTCGTTTCTGCAGTGCACCAAACATCACGAGTAGTTAAGGGGATAGAAGCAAGGAAGGAAATGTTGAAAATGAGTGGATTTATTTGCAGATCATAACATTAATATATGACTTACCACTAGAAAAATAAATTAAAAGGCAATAAAAATTGCCAGTGCTGACCATTCTCACAAAGTGTCTCCATCTGAATTAACAGAGGTTCTTCCAAAGTTATTCGGTGCCTGTTTTCATTTGCTGAATGCTTATATGGACTTGTTCTTGGAAGACTTTAGAAGTGATGATCTATTAGCTTACAGCTTATTTGTATTGGATAATGCATTCCCTTTCATATACAGGATGGAAGTTGATATATTTCACTAGCGTACAACTGTCACCCATAGACTCCAACTCATATGGAACTTCAATCATTGCAATCTTTCTTACACTAATGTTCATTCATTCAATAGAATGGTCAACTCTCATTGTCTTTTCATTCCTCAGAATTCATTCAAACTCTTTATCCTCATTTGTATACCCTTTCACAGTTTTGCTCCTCCCAGTTTAACTTCCTCCAGTCCTACCTCCACCCTCTGCCCTACTAGGACTTACAACAGTTTCCCCTCCTTCGACCATTGAGGCGGGATTCGTTGTAACTCTCCTGTTAACCCCCTTCCCCTTGTAATATCTGTCCACTTTCTAACATCAACACAGAAACCTGCAATGATAACATCCTTGGCCAAATCCCAGAACTCTCTGCTAACCCTACTTACCACTAAGCTGCAAATATGATATGTTTTGAATCTTTTTTGCTGTGACAAAAACACTATACACATTTAATCTGCTGTTATTGGGTCTCAATTCCTCCTGTTATAATTTAGATGCTCTTCAATACAGCATTTAATCTCATGACCATTACAAATTATTTGCTTCTTTCTGTCCTTCCACAGGCAAGCCAACCCATGAATCAAAATGTGGTGCTAAATACAGAGTAATCTGCAAGGTAGGATGAGCTGGATGAAAAATAACCCTATTTCCTAACAAGTTGTATGTGAGACACAAAGGCTAAAGATTTCTCCTACGGACAAACCACAGATTAGAAATCATTTTTGGGTAGTATTTTGGCTTGTGGGCATGTGAAATACAATGGGATACTGTTCAGTGTACTAACTGGCTTCCAGCAGTAACTCTGGGGCAAGTCATGGTGCAAATTTAATATTTTATCAATGGTAGGAACACAGAAACTTAGCAAAAAGGAGCAGGAGTAGGCCATGTGGCTATTCCAGCCTGTTTCACCTTTAATTAAAATCATGGGTGATCATTCAATCGGGTGCCCTATTCCAATTTTCACCCCATACCCTTTGATCCATCGAGCTCTAAGAACTGTATCTAATTCCTTCTTGAAAACATTCAATATTCTGACCTCAACTGCTTTCTGTGACAGAAGAATTCCACAGGTTCACCACTCTCTGTGTGAAGAACTTTCTCCTTATCTTAGTCCTAAATGACCTACCTCACATTGTTATACTCTGACCTATGGTTCTTGACTCCTTAGTCATTGGGAACAGCCTTCCTGCATTCACCCTGTCTAATCCTGTTAGAATTTTATAGGTTTCTATGAGATCACCCCTCATTCTTCTAAACCAATGAATATGGACCTTATCTGATCCAAACTTTTTTCATATGTCAGTCCTGTCATCCCATGAATTAGTCTGGTAAACTTTTTATTGCACTCCCTCCATAGCCAGAACATCCTTCCTCAGATAAGGAGACACAAAACTGCATTCAGGTGTAGACTCATCAAGCCCCTGTACAACTTCAGCAAGTCATCCCTCCTCTCAAAGCCAACATGCCATTCGCCTTCTTCACCACCTGCTGCACTTGCATGCTTACCTTCAGTAACTGGTATACAATGACACCCAGGTCTCATTCCATCTTCCCCTTTCCCAAACCCTCACCATTCAGACAATATTCTGCCTTCCTGTATTTGACACAATTTTTAAATGATTAATTTCACATAACCAACATTATACTTCATTTGCCATGGATTTGCCCAATCAGCTGGTCCAAATCATACTGAAGCATTTCTGTATCCTCTTCATGGTTCACCCTCCCATTCAGCTTTGTGTCATATGCAAACTTGAAGATATTACGGTTAGTTCATTCATCTAAATCATTAATAGATATCGTGAATAGCTGGAGCCCAAGCACTGATCCCTGCAGTATCTCACTAGTCACTGGCTGCGAACTGGGATAAGAACCATTTATTCCTATTCTTTGTTTCCTGTCTGCCAGTCAGTTCTCTGTCCATGTCACACTACCCCCAATCCCATTTGCTTTAATTTTACATACTAATCCCTTATGTGGGACCTTATTGGAAGTCTGAAAGTCCGAGTAAAAGAACATCCACTGGCTCCCTCTTATCGACTCCATTAGTTACATCCTCAAAAATTCCAGTATTTTTGGCAAACATGATTTCTCTTACGAAGTCCATGTTCACTCTGTCCAATCCTGTCGCTGTTTTTCAAGCGGCCTGCTATTAAATCTTTTATAACGGATCCTATCATTTTTCCCATGATTGATGTCAGGCTAACCAGTCTATAATTCCCTGTTTTCTCCCTACCTCCATTTTTAAATAGTGGGTTACATTATCTACTGTCCATCTAAGGG